TCTTGAAAAGAAAATAAAGAGACACCCAGCAAATATTGAGCACCTACCGTATGCTGGAGTCTAGGATAGTGTGAGGCAAAAAGGAACAGTCTGCCCACTGTTAAGTGCAGTTTTGGGGGGATGGCTGGGTGTTTTTGCCTGGGTGGGGGTCTGAGCAGTTCTTTCTTGTCACTCTTCTCCCCCTTGCCAGTGGCAGGTGCTGGGTGCCAGGTAGCTCTTCCATACGTGTCCAGACTGGATGTTTCCGACCTCCTACAGCAAGCTTCTAAGCCGTCACCTATCACATTTGGCTAACTGTCAGGTGTTTTCACCTGGCAGGGCCTGAGGTCCTTTGCAGATTTCCCCCATCCCCAACTTGCGTGTTGTCTTGCATCTGGAGGAAGTAGAAGTATCCTTCTTCTCATACCTGTGCACACTCACCCTTGTTCACCCTAGCATAGAATCCAGTTTTTGCTGCTCATTAGCTATGTGACCCTGGGCAATTCATTTAATTTTGATGGACTCTGACTCTCCCTTGCTGTACGTGGAGATTCCCAACCCTGTCACCTTGGTATGTGTGTGTGTGTGGGGGGGGGGTGGTTAAGCGGATTAATGAAGCAAGTGAGCACCTGCCAGAGGAGAGGAGGCCTCCCAACTCCTTAGCTGGGGGAGTCAGCTGCATCTCACCCTTTCTGGGCCCTGCCTTTGGCTCTTCGCTCCTGCTGGATGGCCCATTTGGAGGTTGGGTGCACTGGCTGACCCACCCAGAGCTGTTCTTGGCCATATCAGCTTGGAGGGCATTTGTGGAAATTCCCACTAGATGGGCTCTTGTATGTCTCCCTGATCTTCTTGAGACGTTGTGGGAAGGAGCAAAACTGCATAAAAAGTCTTGTCTGGAGCTGCAAAATCCTGGGCTCCTTTGGGGTTCTCTCTGGGCACTTCCCCTCCATCCTATAATCTCTTCTCCCCCTCTCCATTTCCTCTTTTCCCCTAAACAGTGGATTCTGAGGCCTCAAGGGTCTCTGTGGACCTCATGAGATGTTAGCCCAGTCTGCCTTTCCCATATGGATGCTGGTCCCTCCCTTCCTCCCTCCTCTCAGCATTGAGCTCCAAACCTCCTCCTTGTTTCCTGCAGTCAGCACTTCCAGGCTTTTCCATTTGTAGTGTCCTCCACCCTGGCTCAGACCCAGAATCAAGTAGGAGATTTGGGAAGGTCGAAGTTCAATTTCCACTGTGAATTTCTTCCTGTCTCTGCCTCCTGTACTGGGCTGCTCCCAGGGTTTTCCAAGTGGGCCCCAGAGATGCATATCTTGCTCTTGGGTGTTAGGGTACAGCTCTGTTTGAAGGATAGCTGGGGGGATGGGGACTGAGCAGTGCCAATCGGGGCACCCCTTCTTCACACCCATATCCCTTGGGCCAGGAGTCTCCTTTCTTTAGCTGCCAAAACCACTCTAGGTTTGGAATACTGGAGAGTTTGACTTTGGGAGGTTTTGAGTTTTAAAAACATGGTTACATTTTTATTTGTCTGTTTAGTGTGTGTGTGTGTGTTTATGTGCACACATGCGCACCACAGTATGTGTGTAGAGGTCAGAGGACAACTCTTGAGAATTGGTTTTCCCCTCTGTCATACAAGTTCCTGGGGATTGAACTTGGGCTGTCAGAATCAGCAGTGAGTGCCTTAACCTGCTGAGACATCTTGCTGGCTTGCTTTGGAGTGCTTTGAATTTAGAATTCTAGTTAAGAATACATGCTCCAAACACGAGGTACAGCTCCACCACTCAGTCATGTGACCTCCAATATGTCACCTCACCTCTTTGTGCCAATTGACCCTCATCTGTAAAATAGAAGCAAAGATTTTATAAGACTGGGGCAAGGATTGAAAATGTTAGTCCTTGCCAGGAGCTCCTATCAGAGCCAGTCACAGGTAGATTAAATGGCTTCCCAGGCACAGATGGATTAAATGGCCCGTGAGTATCTGAGAGACAAATCAGTATGATTGTGAAGATATTGAAATATCTATCTCCATGCCCTTATGATCTTTAAGCCCAGAAAGGACCTAATTTTAGATCACAGAGTCAGAATTCTTCCCCGCTTCCTCCAGTTCCAGCAATAGATGACTGTCTGGCTCGTGAGAAGTTCTCCAACAGGGTGACTCTGTGTGTGTGTATGTGTGTGTGTGTGTGTGTGTGTGTGTTACATGTGTGCACATGCTCTGTCTAGTGGCATTAGAGTACTGAGCAAGTTAGGCTTTGTCCCTGGGAGCCAGCTTGTGCAGAAGCAATGGGGAGTCTGTCGGTTGCCAGGTGGGTATGATGGGAAACCCTAGGTCACCATCTACTTCACCCACCACCTGGCAGGACTCGGAAGGCTCAGTTTCCAGGGTATGGTGGGGCCTAATGAGTGTGTGCGGCTGATGCAGCCTTCTGCAAATACCAGGCACAATATAAATAGCAATAATGAATAAATGAAGCTCCCGCAGCCGGCGAGGCCTCTGAGAGGTACTGCCCTAGCCTTGCTTCTTGTGGAGACAGGAGCTGCACTCCCAGCCTGCAGTAGGTCGATGGCTTCTCTTACTCTTACTTCCATCCTGGCCTCTCTTTGAATCTTCCACGTCTCTAGGATCTGCTCACTGTCCTGGGAGTGGGGTAGGATAGGCTGGGTGGATTGAAGATCAGAGGCGTCCAGAGGAACAGGTGTACATCACCTTAGTGATTGCAATCTAGGCCTGGGTAACATTTAAGGAGGCTGTACCGAGGGCCTAGACCAGTGAGCTCACACCGGGTGGGTTCTCAAAGTCCTGTGGAGCCTCCGGAATATTACAGCAGCGAGGTCAGGAGGGAACAGCTGTGGTTTTCTTCCCACCCTGAAGGTTTTCATTCCCCATGCCCTGGGCTTTTCAGCTGTGCATGTTGCTGGCCAGGGCTCCCTGTCCTTCCTTTCCCTTGCCACTCCTCCACCCAGCTCTCCTCCTGGCTCAGTCTTGCGGGGGCCCAGTGCATGTGTCTCACCTTTGATGAGCCGTTCTTGGAACCCACAATGATCTGGAGCCTTCCTCTCCGACTCGGGCTGCTGTCTGGGTCAGTTCACACTGCAGGGCACCTCTTTTGATGAAAGGTTGTCTCACCTCCACAGTCAGGCCCCTCTGTGAGAACAATTGGTCCCTGGGACAGGCACTGTGTCTTTCTGAGAACCCCAGCCTTGTGAAGAGAGGCTGCTATTCATTCTTCATGGAAGTTGGAAGGGCTGTGCTGGGTGGCGGTGGGGGAGCTGCTCAGTTGAGGAACTGCCTCTTCAGATTGGCCTGTGGAACTGTCTATGGAGTGTTTTCTTGATTAGCGGTTGCCTGCTGTGGTACTACCTCTGGGCAGGTGGTCCTGGGCTGTTCAGGAAAGCAAGCTCAGCAGCCCACCGGGAACAAGCCAGTCAGCAACACTCTTCCATGGCCTCTGCTTCAGCTCCTGCCTCCAGGTTCCTGCCCTCCTCTCATGAAGGACCAGTGAGCCAAACAAACCCTTTCTTCCCCAAGTTGCTGTTGGTTAGCATTTCATCACAGCAGCAGAAAGCAAAACAAAACAGGCGGACGGTGGGTATGGATTGGGGAGCGCCCAATTCATGTACTGGGTGGAGGCTTCCCAGATGAGTGACCTCTGGCTTAAAATATACGGCCTCGACTCTGGCCTCAGTTTTGTTGGCAATAGAATGAGGTGTCCTGTCACAGGGTCAGGAATTGATTGGCATTTGGCAGGATCTTGATGCCTTTAATTTACTTATATACACATGAACTAGTAAAAGGTGATCACAAGTCTCTCCTAGTCCGCAACCCATGGGCGGGGGCGGGAGGGGAAGAGGCGGGGCCCCCTGCTGAGAGGGCATGGGACTGCGAAGCAGGAGCTGCAAAACAAGGGAGAGGGTGCCCATTTCATGCACAAGGCTGGCCTTTCAGGCTGCCCAGAGGGTGGTGAGGCTGAGGGCTGCCCTTGCAGCTGGGTAAAGATAGGCATCTGCCCCACTTGTGTGGGTGGAGAGGGGCGTGGAGGTCATTAGGAAATCTAAAAAGAGGTAGTCTTTTATTTATTTATTTTATTTTTTTGAGACCGGTTCTTATTGTATAGCTTGGACTTGACTTTGTGAACTAAGGCTGGTCTCGAACCTACAGAGATCTGCTTGCCTCTGTTGGGGTTACAGGCGTGCAATACCACTCACTACTGGTGGCCTTTGAGTCAGTCTTGAAGGGCAGGAAGAAGAGGGGCCCGAATGGGAAGCTTGGTGGGAACCTGAGTCTCCGAGGGACCTTTGGAAACTGGTTAGGCTGAGTATCACCGCTAAGCTGGTGACCCTGGTCACTGGGTAGTGGAGCAAGCACCCCAAATGGAAGCCCAGTGAGAATCTGAAGTGTGACAAGACCAACAAGCACTCGGCACCTGGGCCGCTCATTCACAGGGCCCTCCTTTCTCTCTCTCTCTCTCTCTCTCTCTCTCTCTCTCTTTCTTTCTTTTTTTACGCATGACGCAGTCAGTGCCAAAGGGGTCAGGACCCTCCCCGGGTGCAACCCTAAATTGTCGGGAGGCAGCACCCCCGGGGCTCCCGCCCCTCGGGAGGGGGCTCACTCGCCGCCGCCGTCACTCAGTCTGTCGCCCGCACGCCTCCCCCTCCAGCGCCCCAAGCCTGCAGCTTTCCCCGAAGACATTTGGTGTCAGTATAAGGACGGCTTTTCCTCGCACGCGGCGCGGCTCGGTCTCGCCGCCGCCGCACGTCCCCGCACCGCCCGGCGCTCCGGCTCCTCCGCAGCCCCCGCCGCGCGCAGCCCCCTTGCGCCTCGAGTCCGGGTCGGGGGCGCGAGTGGCGCTGAAGCCGGGGACCCAGGCGGCCCGACCCCGCGCCCCGCCGCGCCCGCCGCCCCGCACCTGCCCCGCCGCGGCCCCGCGCCCCCGCCCCCGGCCCGGAGCGCCGCGCGCCCGCCGCCCGCCGCGCGCTCCAACTCCGCGCGGCTAGCCGCTCGTCCGCGCCGCCCGCCCGGAGCCGCGGCGACCCGCCTGCCATGGCCCGCGCCCCCGGGCCCGCCACCCTGCGCGCGCCGCCCCCTTCGCCCCGGGGGCGCAGCTGATCCCGGAATCCGAGGCGTGGAGCCGGCGGGGCGCGGGGTCCCTCTCCACGCCGGCTTCGGGGACACGCGTCACCCCCGCATCTCTGCCTGGGACGACCCAGCTGCCCGGCTACGTCCATGCCAAGGTAGGCGAGGCAGTGGCCATGAAGGGAGAAGAAAAGGCTCAGCCCCCTGGTCGGCTTCTTGGCGCGTAGGGCTCTTTCTTTATAGAGGCGTTTATTTATTTATTTATTATTCTTGGGGACTGACCCCCCCCCCCATCCGCCAACGCGTGCCCATCAGGTGGGCGCTACATCTTGTGATTGGGGGTAGGGGCCCTGCATTGGGAGGAAGGACAGGGAACTTTGACCGGCCCCTCTCCAAGGCCACGAAAGTTCTTTTGGTGCCAATACCGAAGCCCAAAGCCGTCTGAACCAGTGCTGCAGAAATTTATTCAACAAGTCAGGCTGCTGACCGGGGCCGGGCTGTCTGTCTGTCCGTCCTGCTGTCCCTCTGCTGCTGCGGCTCTGCGACCAGCTGGATTAGAGCTGGTGCCAGTGTCCGGCAGGGCTGAGCAGGGAGCGTTCGCTAGGGAGGGAGAACCGCGGCAGGATTGAGTGTGAGAACCCCAGGCAGGATTGAACTTTCCTCCAGGCCGGAGGAAAGGAGGTGGCTGGAGGGCCCCTCCTCGGCCAGTACCCCAGGCGCCCTCCCAGGTCGCACTGCATGGAGCCAGGTCGGGTTGGAGCGGGCACTCCAGGGGCCAAGAGGAGTCCTCAGCTGCCAGGGAAATGGTTATATAATGAGCGTTTGTGTTGATTGGGATTTAATTGTCTGTTGGGTGGTGTGTGTGGGGTGAAGGGGCAAGAGGGCTTGGCAGGGAGGTGGGTAGGTCTCTTTTGGGGGAGGTTATGGTGCCTGGGGGAGGGGGACTCAGGATAGGCCCAGCAGAAACAGCTACCAGCTCCTGTGCCTTGTGTCCTTTCTCGTCAGGATCGGAGGCTGTGGATGAGATGGGGTCCGAGGAGAGACCCCTGAGATGGGTTCTGGCCTTTGGAGTCTGTTCTGGGCTGTGTGTGTGTGTCTCTCTCTGTGTGTGTGTGATACAGAAAAAGGGAGTGAGGGAGGGAGGGAGAGAGAGCCTGTCTGTGTCTTCCTGGTGTGACAGGGTCTGAATCTCATGTGAACAGTGCCCTAGGCTGGAGGGCTCAGGCTGGCCTGAGCAGCCTGTCAGCCTCACTGCCTGTGAGATTTGTCCCTGCAGACTCAGCCACTGCCTGGAGACTCTGATGCCGTACAGACAAGGGTGTGAGTCCAGGGGCCAGGCTGGAGGGGAGGGGGTTTGATGTGAAAGTCCAGGCCTGCTTTCCCCCTGTCCTTACTCAGGCAGCTCCAATCATTTCTTGAATTAGCATCCCCCACTCGGCTCCAAGGACTCATTCAAAACTCTTGTCTGCCCCTCAGGACAAACTTTCTGTTTGAGCTCCAAGTCCTAGGACTGGACAATGGTGATCCCGGGCAAGGGGTATTAGTTGGTGAGAATTCAGGATGGGATAGGGAGATGCTGAGCTGGAACCAAGCTTGGGGGCAGCAGTCTAGGGGTGAATGCAGAGTCAGGAAGAGAATATCCTGGGGACACCGCGCTGGCCTGGCACCGAACTGGAGAATCTTCCATATCCTCAAAGGTCTGGGCCTCATTGTACTTTGTCCTGCAGGATCCATGCTGACAGCTCAGAGCTCCGCCAGTCAGCGGGAGGCTCTTCAAGCAGCCAGATCAGCTTGGGGGAGGGGCTTAAAGCCTTTCTGGAGACCCCTCTCTGCCTTGACTGAAGTTCTCCGTCCTCCCTACCTGAGTTTCTGTCTAGCCTACTTGCCTGTCTCTTCCACTTCAGACTCTTGTATCAGTAGCTTCTTCAAGGCTGGTCCAGAGAGGGTATCTTCTAAGCCCGCCAGAGGGCGCCAAGAAGTCTTCATCCCCTCAGGTTGACTCCCCGTGACCTTGGGCAGGTGGGTGGGGTTTAGCTGTTGGAACCTCCTGCTCACTCCTCCACTCTAGCTGGCTCTAGACCTGGCTGGCCCTCGGAGGGCCTGCTTGTCATCCGCTCACTGCTGGGGAGCAGTTACCACAAGCGCCACCCTGAAATCAGTGCCCGATGCTTCTGAACTCAGAGACCTGCCCTGAGCTCACAACCTGGCCACTTCGGCCTCTCTGTCCCCAGTCCCTTCATCATAACCCCAATTACCTGCCCAATTCTATGCCCCAAGTGCAGCTCCCAGGACAGACTCTGGGCCCTACCCTTCCCCCATCCGCAGAGATGCGCTCCCGCCCCCAGCAGCTCAGATCTCTGTTTCAAGGCTGGTGTGGATTCCTGATCTGTGCTGTCTCTCACCCTTGTCTTGCTCTCTGACTTCCCTGTGCTGCATCTGGGGTGCTTCAAGACTGTCTGCCAAGCGTGAACCCTGGGCTAGGAGCGGAGGTCAGAGGAGGGGAAATTAAGGCCCACTCCCCAGCTTTGGCTCCTCCATCCTTTCTCCCCTCTCTCCCCTCTTTCTTTCCCCCACTCCATCTCTTTCCTCCCTCTCTCCTTTCTGGAGAACATTTTCTTCCCACGTGTTCCCAGAGTGTGCCTTGCATAGTGCCCTCTCTTCACCCCAGCGTCCTCCAGAGTGTTAGGTCTGGGCTTGAGCTGTTGACTACACAGACGTGTGGGTGCAGGCTCCTGTGTGAACATCTGCAGGTCCCTGGTCTGCAGGCCTGTGGGTCCTGACATCTGAAAGATGTAGGACAAATCTTTCCCATCCTAAGCAGCCAGCTGGAAAAGAGAAGAAACAAAACATGGATTTGTGATTTACTAAGCACCTACTGAGTGTCAGACCTCATTCTGGTCACTAGAACCCAGAGGTGAGAGAAGAGAACAGGCTAAATGAGCCTTCTAGGGCCTTCCATGCCTTGAGGGAGGGTCTGGCTTCCTTGCTGAGGGCATCGTGGAGACATAGTTGCAAGTCTCCATATCCTCTGTGCTCTGGGAGTGAGAATCAGGCTGTGGACTTGACTTGTGGGGGTGCTGGACACATGGTCATTGGACCCTAAGCAGGGGCTGGCAACTTGGGGCCTTGGAGCCAGTGTCTCTTCGGGGCTGAAATCAGAAGGGACCTTTGTCTCCAGTGTCCTCCCTGGGCCAGCTGTCCCCTTCTGCTGGCGTTGGCTAATGATGCATCCTGAGATGGATATTTGGGCTCTTGTTCCCCCTCCCTGCTGTGCACCCTGACCTACTGAGCAACAAGGGCTGGGTTAAGGCCTGAGTGCCCCTACCCTAGCTTTTATCCCAGCTGCGAGACGAATAAGCAAGTCTGTGATCGGGGACTCGGAGGGGCAGGCCTCTCAGCATGGCAAGCTCAGCTTGTTGTAATTGGGCTAATGCTGCTTCCTTAAAGGATTTTTGGTGAGACTTAGAAGTGTCTCTGCAGTACCTAGCATGGTGCCTCGGAGGGGGAAACTGTTTTTCTTTCATTAAGGTACTTTCCCCATTTCGCTCCGTTTGTTATCTGCTTGGAGAGGGAGAGAGGCATCCTCCTCTGTGTTTTTCACAGGTGGAAATGAAAAGGGATGCAGGGAAGGGATGCTGGACCCGGCCAGGACTCTGGGACTCCAGTCTAGTGTTCCTTTTCGTGGGACCCACCTCACTCACAGTGAGACCCAGAGCTCTAATTATTGCAGTGAGGAAACCAATCAGTAGAGACACCTGCTGGGAGTTGTGCAGACGGTGGGGATTCAGGTGCAGCCTTCCTTGCTCATTTTCATCACAGGGCCAAGGGCCACTGAAAACAAACACGGCAGTGTCTGGGGCCAGGTGGGCAGGTGCTTCAGTGGGACAGGGGCACCTGGCCCACGTTTTAACTCCCGACTCACAGTTGGAATCCCAGCTCTTCCACTAAGTAGTCTCCGACCTTGGAAATACCCATTCCTCTCTCTGTGCCTCGGTTTCCTCCTTGCAGGAGAGAACACATATGCCTGCATCTTTGGGCTGTGAGTGTCCCCAAGCAATGCCGACTGTGACACTGGTTAGTTGTCCCAGGAGGAGTTGCTGAGCCAATTGAGTGTACTGTAAAGCTGTGAAGGCCCGGGACGAGCAGTGGTGGTGCACACCTTTAATCCCAGCACTCGGGAGGCAGAGGCAGGTAGATTTCTGTAAATTCAAGGGCAACCTGGTCTACAAGAGCTACCCAGATAAACCCTGTCTTGAAAACAAACAAACAAACAAACAAACATATCCTGGAAAGGCTAGCTGTTGAATTTCGTGGCGGAGCCAAGAGGAGTTTAGCATGTGGGCAGGCTCAGTTGTCCAGACCAGAGATGTTAGGGTGAGTTCACGCACTTGGGGGACAAAGGTAAGCCTTTTGCATCTGAGCAACTGCACAGAAACTCAGAGATCCGGGGGGGTTCGTGGACCCCATGAAGCATAGGCACTGGGGTCTGCATTGTGTTTGGGCTCTAGGGCTCCAGTCTGCTTTAGAGAGGCCTCTCCTACAGCACTGGGCAGACAACCCTGCTGCCTCACTGGGAATCTGGCCTTGTCCCTGCAGAGGACTTTGGGTAAGCTCAACTTAGACCGAGAGGGGTTCTGGGAGGCAGGCGATCTGGAAATTGTCATCTGAGGAATGGTTGAGGGAGCTGGTGACAAGAGGCCTGGGGCAGATGAGGCTCAGGGGTGGGCGAGCCTGTCAGCACGCATCTGCAGGGCTGTCATGCGGAAGAGGGAGCAGACAGGATGCTAGGGGCTCTGAGATGGTGCCTGAAAGATTCTGGGAGGCAGTCTTCCCAAAGCCTTACCAGATTTCTTGGTGGCCCCCCAAATTCAGGCTTTGCCCTGGTTTGTATGTGTGAGGGCTGTGTATCTGTTTGAGGTCCTAAGTGTGCATGTATCTGTCTGTGATTTCTTTCTTTCTTTTTGGGTTGGTTTTTCAAGGCAGAGTTTCTCTGCATATCCCTGGCTGTCCCGGAACTCACTCTGTGGATCAGGCTGGCCTTGAATTCAGAGATCTGCCTTCTTCCACCTCCTAAATGGTGGGATTAAAGGCATGTGCCACGACACCTGGTGTGCCTGTGATTTCTGTATGTGTATGTGAGCATGTGTCTGTGAGTGTG